GAGGCAGTGACGGCAGCCACACTGGCGGGGACTAAGCCAGCAGCTGGGGCATAACATAAATCCTCCTGGACGCGAGCATGGTGTCCAATGAGATGGTCTAGGTGAGGTCAGCCAGATCTTCCAGGTCAAAGAACAGGATTAAGCCAGCCGCAAAGCCCATGCAAGGGCAGCAGCACAACTATTGCCTCTGCACTGTAAATAGTCGCGTATGTTTTTATAAATAATAAAAAGTTATGTCCACATCACAAGCCTCCAGAAACTACAGTGGAGGCAGTGGCTGCCATTCTCATACCTCTTCAAAACTGGTGCCTGAGGCTACAACTCCCTCTGCTCATATACTTTAGTTATGCTCCTGGTAATCGGGGTCCCATCTATTCCATAATCCCACACTTAGAAGTTATCCAAAATTAGCCAGAATCTCAGGAGTTATCTAAAAAATGTCTCTAGTGACAGCTGACCTGTCCATATTTTGCAACAATCAGATGGCAATGTTTCCTTTCTGGTTAAATCCAGTCCATCTGATTTTTCTAAAGAGAATGGACATTCCCTCTTATTGCCCTTTGAACCAGTTTTATGACTTTATCTTCCTAGCAATGAGGATTTGCCTAGAGAAAGAGCATGTATTAGCTCAAGACATCGTGATTTTCAGAGTGATTTATTTTACGAGGGTTTTGAAATAAATTATCAGTCAGTGATTGGCCATAGGGGAGAAGCACATAAAAGCTTACCACATGCATTGAACATACCATCTGGTAGCCTTTTAAAATCTAGCTTCAGGGTGGCTCTGCTATTTCTTTCAAGTGCATGATGTTCCCAGTGCACAGTGAGGCCTGAATATAAAAACTGCAGGAGGATAACCCAGTAAGAACCAGCACTATACATCCACAGGTTATTTTCCCATAACTTTATGATGCTACTCTATTTTGAGTGATTGGCATTTTCATCCTATCCTAACTACTAATCAGCTTTCTAACTTCAACTGTGCAAAAAAAAAATCCTTTTATTTGGCTGGATATTAAAAAGAGGCTTCTTCTCTCCATTCTGCAATGGGTTTCTTGGGTCTGAAGAGCTGGATTTATGCAAATGTGCAAAAAAAGTCCGTGTTGTTATTCTGGGTGCCCTGTTTGTGATGCACACAGCCTGGAGCGTGTGATGAGAATTCCTCTCTGATATTTGTCATATCTCCAGATCTTCCCTGCTGTCCCTTACGTCTCACTGTTTAGGAATGCAAAAATACAAACATCATGAAATATAATTGAAAACATAATGTGAAGAGTACAAATCTTCATTTACCAGTATTTAAATCCCTCCAACCCTAATGTTGCCATGTAGGTATATATGAGCAATGAAGTTGCTAATGTTCCTCACATGATCATGATGCTGCTGATACTCATTATTCATGCCTTCAATTTTAGATTATTATCAAATGATCTTTTCCAAACCCCAATCTACAGCGAGTGCCTAAGAATGACAACACTGCCACTAAAGAGAAACAAATCCCCGCCGTGCATACCTGTAATACAGCCTATGTTTAACCACATCCTGTCCAAAATCCTCATTCACATGATACAATCCCAAGCTTCAAAAATCATGCCTGGAAAACGGTGTAAAACATGTTCTTCATTAAGGAATGAAAAAGGTTATCAGTTTTCTATAGCTTCTGCTGACCTCAGCGAGAGCCACGTGCAAGTGGTAACAACAGGGGTGTACACCAGCTGCAGATGCTTCTTCAACCTGACGAAGGGTATTTATACCCAAAAGCCTGATAAGAAGAATTTTTCCAACTCCGAGTTGGTCTAATAAAAGCTATCAGATTTACCCAAAGAACCTTGTCTGCCCATGGTAAGAATGGGCTTTTATCCAAATGTGTTAGTTTTTTTCCCCAATTGTTTTACAATGCACAAGTAGTGTTGTCTGGTAAATACAGCGAGTGTGTGTATACACACATCCATACTTACGAACTCCCGACTGTAACACAGAAGAGTTGCACACAAAACGCATAAGGCTGCTTTTTCTCAAAACATGTATTCCTTCTGCATGTGTTGAAATAAATGGCAAACAGGAGGTGTCAATGGATTTTTGTGCAAAAACGCTCCTTTCTGCTGCTTGAGAAGGGAAGAAAGGCATATGCGTAAAACACATGACCTGTCCCTAGCTGCATGCTAGTAGATTTGTCGACTTGTTGATGGAAGGCAAGTGGTTCAATTTGTACAGTGAGACGTTGTAACCTGCCTTAGCTGCTCATTAACATTTCTAGCTACTGTGGTGTTCAAGTAAAATGCAGGCGCCGTCTGAACTCCTGCTGTCACTGCTGTGTATGCTGTGCATGTGGGGACTCTCTTTCCCCGGAGTATATGAGACTTTTCTAGTTTGAAATCAGCCGTTGTGAATGGTGCAGCGCTGGGAAGGACAGCTTGACTATTATTCAAATTCTTTATTTTTCCAAGTGGGGGGATCCTCTTGATGGACCCCCCAGTGATAAAGATACTGGCCAATCCATCAAAAAGCCCAAAGAGAACATTAAAGAAAAGGTTTTGAAAACTGGCTTTAGATACCTGGTTAAATGCTGAGTGAACTGAGGATCAGGGATACTATTAAATGGTCATTTGCTTCATAAAAGAATTGGGGCTTAAGATTTAGGAAACAGTGTTTGATGCAAATAAGTGGCATCAGCAAACTTACTACATTTTCATTCCTGCTCCAGCTACGATAACAAGTGGTGCCTGCTCCTGTTGAAGTGTTTTCCCCACGGTGTGCCAGGGGGAGCAGGTCAGGACCTAGAGAATTTATAGTAGAGGCACACCTGGGACATCAGCAATGAGCATGGGATGAGAGTCCCAATCCTACAGGCTCGCATATGCTATCTGAACCTCACCGCCACCAGCAGTCTCATAGAATAATCACACCCATAAACATTTGCAGAATAGAGAATACGTATTTCAGGTTGAATTTAATTGGAATTTGTGGCATTAAAACCATACAGAAGGTTACCAGCAGGGCTCTGGACAGCACAGTGCAAGGTACATGAGGTGGAAAGAGAGAGCTGTGTTAGCCTGAAGTCAGGTAGAACGCAGGGTAGCTCTGCACCGTGTAGACATATACAGTCTTCATAAAGTCCTTGGGCACTTTTAAACTTTAATAACTTAGGTTGTAGGCATGATAGAAACAATCTGTAAACAGCATTTAAAAGCAAATGTATTAAAGTTTTAGGACGACTAAAGTACACAATGCTAGACTTCATAAGTAATAATTAATTTATTCTTAAATAAGATGGAGCCTTGTGCCGCTACACTGTGAATGTACGACATTTCCTAAATGACGTTTTCCCAGAGAAGTGGGTAGGCAGAGGTGGACCAATTGTTTGGCCACCTTGTTCACCTGCCCTGTCACCATTGGACTTATTTTTATGGGGACATATTAAAAGTGTAGTTAACTTGTCAAAACCATGTTCTTTGGTGGAACTTAGGGCTAGGATCACCAATGCAATTAGTGCAGTAACTCAAAAGCAACTGGGAAACATTTTCAAGGAGTTGGAAGATTGGATTGAGTGCTATATCATGATGGATGGTGGTTATGTGTACTCTAGTTGTCCTAAAACTTCAATAAATTTGCTTTGAAATGCTGTTTACAGATTGTTTCTAGTGTACCTACAACCTAAGTTATTAAAGTTTAAAAGTGCACAAGGACTTTATGAAGACCCTGTATACCATGTATGGTACAAGCTTTCATGAGCTGAAGCTTGCTTCATTACTGCTTATTTGTTTGCCTCTTCTAGCGTTTGTCCCCCTACCCTCTTTTTTAAATCACAGAAAACCAGGTTCCCTGTTGGGTAGTCTATAAGGTGCAAATCTACTTCTACACGATATGAAGGCAAGGATTTCTTAGGGTGATGTCTTGTATTTGACCAACCACGTAGTTTATCTCAACTGCATTTAGCCCAATGGAAGATCCCACCTGAAGAAATCTTTGTCTCTGGCATAGTTTCTAGTCCATAGCTGCTACAACATCACTCTTACATTACCATGGTAGGTGATGGGCAGAGGTAGGTCGGTGGATGGATCCATAGGTGGACGGAGGGACCCGTGGCTGGGTGTGGATGCATGGCAGGGTCAGTGGCTGGGTTGGTGATGGATGGAAGGAAGGAAGGATGGGTGTGTGCATGGATTGATTCATGCCTGGGTGGGTGGGTGGATGCATGGATGTGGATGGGTGGGTGTGTGATGGATGGATGGATGGAAGGAAAGATGGCTGTGTGCATGGATTGATTCGTGGCTGGGTAGGTGGGTGGATGGATGGAAGAAACGGGTGTGTGCATGGATGTCTGCATGGATTGATTTGTGGCTGGGTGGATGGATGGATGTGGCTGGGTGGATGATGGATGCATGGAAGGATGGGTGTGCATGGATTGATTTGTGGATGG